TGAGTTGCAGTGTTCGTGAAGAATGTTGACGACGCCATGAACTGCTGTGAAAGAAATCCATCTCGGAAGAAGGACAGCGAGACTGGTTCTAGGAGCAAGGATGGTGAGACTCTGGGTTTGTATTTTAGACACCTTAGGCCAGTCCTGAAGAAGGGCATACTCTTGGAAAAGGCTAGGGCCTGTGGAGACGTGCAGTGCTCTGAGCAAGATGCTAACAGCCACAATGGCTTCCATATAACCGTTCTGAGGATGGCACGGGGGTTGATATGACTCAAAGTCTACTCAGTTACCTAACAGCAGCAACACATTTTTTTGCTCAGTGGCTAGCCAGAAAAGAACACTATAGGAAATTGTGACTTTGGACCAGAGGCGGAGGACTCTTGTTCTGCAAGGGGGCATTTGGGTATTTATAAGATCATTCACAGGCCATACAAAATTATCCATTTAAAAATTAGCCTGTTCTATTTTGTCATGCATTTCATTGATACACCCCTAATGTTTGTTCTTTTTTTAAAATGTTTGTTCTTTGGACAGTCTATGATACTTAGAATATTCTTTGCCAACACCGCCTAATTCAAATGCACTGATTCTTCTTCAGACTTCGAATAATGAGGATCCAAGAAGAATTGATGTGTTCGAATTATGGTGCTGGCAAAGAATATTGAAAGTGCCATCGGATGCCCAAAGATAAGCAAATCTGTGTTGGCAGAAGTGCAGCCAGAATGCTCCTTAGAAACAAGGATGATGAGACTCTGTCTCGTGTCCTTTGGTCAGGAGAGACCAGTCCCCAGAGAAGGACATCGTGCTTGGTGAAGTAGAGGGGCATAGAAAAAGAGGCAGGCTCTCAACAAGTGGTTGCGACCATGGACTTAAACACTAACACCATTGTGAGGCTGACACAGGACCAGTGTGTCAATCTTTTGTTTGTAGGGTTGCTATGAGTCGGGACCGACTCCGTGGCACCTGACAGCACAGTGGTGGCTGGAACTGCTCCTCTTTGATGAGGCCTTTGGTGTTAGTTGGCGTGGATGATGTTGCTCCTCACAAGAGGGTTGGTCTGGGTCACAATTGGCTCGGTAATGGTAAGTTTTGAAGAGAACTGCTCACGGGAGTAAGTTGTTCTGAACGCAGATGCGTATTTTGATGCCCGTCTCCTGAAAGTGAGCAGTTCATGCTTGTTTAGGTAACATTGATAGACCTCCAGCAGTGGGAGGTTGTTGTACCCAGCTTTCACGTCATCATCACTTGGCAGCTGAATTACTGTGTGTTGTAGGTTATCAGGCACACCAGCTGCTTCCGCATTGAATGGTGGACCAAAAGCGCTCAATTCCATTTGCTTACTTTTCATGTCCTTGAATCCTGCATTAAATGCCTCAATTAGTTTTGTACATTTTCCAGCATACTCAAGTAGTGCAGAAGGCGCCGTCCTTCCAGAGTGGTGACATGCACCAGATTATGGTGCAACTATCTAGTATGTTTGCCACCAGTAACATATCTATATCTATCTATATCCATATCATCTATCTATCATCTATCTACCTACCTATCTATCTATCCATCTATTTATCTATCATCTACCTATCTATCTATCATCTACCTATCATCTATCTATCTATCTATCTATCTATCTATCTATCTATCTATCTATCATCTATCTATCTATCATCTATCTATCTAGCTATCTATTTATCTATCTATCTATCTATCATCTATCTATCTATCTATCATCTACTTATCTATCCATCATCTATCTATCTACCTATCATCTATCTATCTATCATCTACCTATCTATCTATCATCTATCTACCTATCTATCATCTATCTATCTATCTATCTATCTATCTATCATCTATCTATCTATCATCTATCTGTCTGTCTGTCTGTCTGTCTATCTATCTATCTATCTATCTATCTATCTATCTATCTATCTATTTGCTTTGATTGCTGTTCTAATCCTGCATTTTGATTTCAAAACTATCAAGTATTCACATCTTCAACTCTTATTTTTAATCATTAACTCTTGAAGTCTTTTAAGCTATACTTTCCACAGACTTAATTTAGCTTCAAATTAGTTCACGTTTGAAAGCAGGGAGCCCAGCAGCTGTTTGGGGCCCCACAGCTTGATGTTCAGATGAGAGGAAGTAGTGTTCATCATGGTAGTGTCCACCATGAACACGAACTCACACAGCCACCGTTGAGTGTGCTGGCATATTTTCTGTCAGCACCCCATAACTTCATTCCACGGTTCGTAAAACCTCCTGAGCACGGTCCTTTGAATCTGCTACTGTATTTCACAGTGATGGACAAGAGCACTGTACTCAGAGTCAAGATCATTCAGCAACTCCCTAAACTGGAGGCTGTGAAACCATCTGCTTGGGTCAAAATGTATGCGTGGCATAATTGTTGGCATCACGTGGTTAGGTTGCACTGACTGTGCACAGAGACTTTTCAAAGACTTGGCGTATGATGCAGTAGCGTCTAATTAGGTTATTTGGATCGAGACAGATGATTCAATTCTTTCTTGACAAATGCAATTAACCCCTTCTGCAAGCCAACTGTGGCTGGAGCTCCACGAATGTAGTAATGCCACGAAACTTTTCCAATGTTAGCTCGTATTTTTCCATTGACAAAACACGTTTCCCACACAAGCCCTCAGCTCTTCCCATGCCATGCATGGCTTCCGGTGACTGCAGCCCCTCTTGCAGGTCAGACTCTGCTGTCATCCCACAAACAGCATGGCCAGGTGGGCAGTCGTTCTTATACCCATTTTTTCATCACAAGCCCAAGAGGAAACTTGGAGATCTCCTGAAGAATCATCGGTGGTCTTTCACCATCTTCTGCTAAGTCAGGACCCAGAGAGAGTTCTCTAAGCCCAACGAACCCTCTGAAACAATTTCAGTTTGTCTGGTGCTAAACAATTCTGGAGCGGCCATGCCCTCTTGCACAAACCCACCCTCTGCAGAGGGCCTGGGTTGCTTTGAGATTAGCTCTCTAATTACGTAACTCATCTGAGTAACATCTCTGTCACAGTTAGGTCTAGTGAAACGGTTTGTTGTGATTTCAAACTCCACTGAAGAGCACTGATTTTATTCAGACACATTTGGCGTCCCTATCGACTGATGTTAGCATGCGTAGACTTGGACTGATGCTCCGGGTTGACTTTTCCCATGAGTGCCAGCACGTCACCACAAACTAGGCACAGAGGTTTTTGCCTTTGGTCTCAACCAAAAAAATAATAATTTGTCCATTTCTCTTGGAAAGATCGACGCTCTGTGTCAACTTTTTCTTCATCGTCACCATTTGTAGGATGTCACAGCATGGAGTTTTAATAACTATCCAGTGTCTTGGTCACCAGTAACATGAGTGTTATTTGCTTTGATTGCTGTTCTAATCCTGGGTCTTGGATTTCAGATACATCAAGTGTTCAGATCATCAACTCTTTTCTTTTAATCATTGACTCTTGACGTCTTTTCTGCATACTGTCACTTCCTTAATCTTGACCTTCGATTCACCTTTTGTGAGGCTCGTTGACCAGGGACGTGAGGAATACGGTTGGATTGGAGGCATGGTCTGTGTTGACAAAGAAGTGGACGGCGTGTAATCCTTTTGCAACAAGCCTGGCACTGCCTGGCCTCTGAGTCACAGCAATCCAGGCAGCCGATGAGAAGCACATGTGTCTGTCCTGGCATGTACTCATGTGTCCTGACCACCCGAAAACATGTGTTCCTTGCTTGTTCCTCACATTTTACTTATTATTTTGATTCACTTAAAATAAATGTATGTTACTATGGAGTGAGCTCCTAGACTTTTTGAAGTTCAAGTCCCAAATGTGGTTGACTTGGCAGGGCCATACCAACTGACTTCATGGGCCTATACAGCCTGTAGACCTATTCAGTCTGAGTCATTCCACAGAACCCATGATTTTATCTTATTTTAAGTCATTTTATTGGGGGCTCGTACAACTCTTATCACCATCCATCCATCCATCCATCCATCCATCCAGTGTGTCAAGCAATGATTTTAAAGGACCGGGATCACCATTCTTTTCATTCACTCTTAGTTGCTAAACACATGCAATGTACTAGGCACGGTGTGATGTGCTGGTTTAGAGAAATAAAAAGCACATCCCCTAGCCTCCAGACTTCAACATGTACAAGAGGACGGTCATTACACAGTGGGATGTGCACTATGTAATGGGCAGAGAAGGAAAGAGGCTCTCCCAGACTGGAAGATCCAGGAAGAATTCTTTCAAAGAGATGAGATCTGAGACAAACCCTAAGAAAGGAAATAAGAGTAAAGTTGGGGAGTGTGGCATATTGTGTCTGGAAATGTGTTGTTAGGTGCCGTTAAGTTGACTTTGGTTCATAGCAACCCTGTATGACAGAGTGAAACTGCCCCGTAGGATTTCCAAGGCTCTAATCTTTACAGAAGCGGGGCCATGGCATTGTAGACATCCATGTCTTCAGCTGGTAATCCTAAAGTCAACAGTTTGAATCCACCAGCTTTCCCAGGGAGAAAGAAGAGACATTCTTCTGCTTTCTTGAAATATTCCAATTTCCTGAATATGATGGCAGGTCTACTGTTCCCTCTAGGGTGACTGTCGGTCAGAATCAAATTCTGTATGTTGATCGCATAGCCTGCTACATTGTCTAATTTTTCCATTAGTTTAAGCAACTTTCTAATGGAATCTTTGGGGTCATTTACATATCGAATTATATCATCTTTGAATAAAGACACTTTATTTCATCTGTGCCTAAGTGGATACCTTTCATATATTTTTGATGTGTTATAGCTCTAGCTAAAACTTCCAGGACTATGTTCAATAAAAGTGATAAATGTAAACCCTCTCTGGTTCCCTTTCAAGAAAGGAATGTTTTCAATTTCTCTCTGTTAAGTGAGTGCAGGTTGTTGATTTCATGTATGTGGCTTTTATTGTGTTGAGAAATTTCCCTTCTAACATATAACCCTGTTTACCATTCATTCTCTCTTCACGTTTTAGGTTATTTGCCTTGGCCTATCTTGAGGAACTTAATGTTTCTTACAATGAGCTTACTTCTATTCCAAATGAAATCTATAAACTCAGGTACTGGGGAAGTAGTAAGTACACATGAAATCTTACGTTGCTTAAGGTTATCTTGGACGGTTATTGTAATGGACAAAACCAGAATCTTGTCTTTGACTTAGTGCCATAAAATATACTAGGTGAAGCATAATATTTACAAAAATTTATAATTTACATGATGGGTCCATAGTATGTTTAAGACAGCATAATGTCCTCCAGTTTCACCTATGTTTTGAGATTTTTGTGAATTCTCAATTGTCATTTAATAGTTTCCTGCATAGTGTTCCATCATATGCGTGTACCATAGTTTGTTTACCATTTGTCTGTTGATGGACATTTGGATTTCTTTGCTATTGTAAAGAATGTGACAGTGAGTATGTGTGTTTCCCAGTTCTGTTTCTTTAGGATATATGAGGTTAAGTAAAAAAAATGTCTAAGTACTTCTAAAATATTATATAAAACTTATTTAGACAAAATATGAAGCTTTTGTATCTTAGCATGTGCTCCATCTAAGTCAATACACTTCTGAAAGCAGTATTTCCATTTCTCTGATATTTCCCCCAAAGAATTCTTTTCTCTTTGATCTACACCACATCAAAACAGCAGCTTTTGCATCCTCATAGGACTCAAATCATGTTCCCCTTCAATGTTCTTTGAGTTTAGGAATTAAAGGAAATCTAAAGGGGCACGGTGGGGCTATGGATGGACTATGGTTTCCCAATGGATGGACTATGGTTTCCCAATGAAATTCTCATAGGACTGCTCCTGCTGTACTTGAAGACTGAGCAGTGCATGGTTGTGCTGGACAAACGTTCCTTGGCACACTTTTCTGACATTTTCTTCTCCAATACAGTTTTCCATTCCTTTTCCTCACCAACACAGTTTTCATTTTCTCAAAATGTCTTTATTATAAGCCCATCTAATGGGCTTTCTGTGGATCATTTTGTGACCCTCGAGGGGAAAATAATCTATCGAGGTGACCACTTTGGAATCCCCAGACAGTCTCCGTAACCTCTCTGCCTTGAGTCTAACGGACCTGGTAGACTCCCTCAGAAGCCACTGTTTTGACTGGACTGGGTCTTTCCTCCAAGATGCCTCTGAATGGATTCAAACCTCCAGCTCTCTGGTGAGTAACGGAGTGCTTTGCTGCTTGCATCATCCAGGGACCCTTGGGTCTACTACGCACCCCCAAAGCTCATTGTGGAGGAAAGAGCACCCAAACTGGTACGTCCCCTGAGGGAAAGCAACTCAGGCAGGGCAGCCTCACCCAGTGGTGGTCTTATTGCCCCCCAAGTTCCCCACCTAGTAAACACCCTGCTCGTCCACACATGGGTTGACCACACCAGCTCTCTCCCAGCAGAGCACGAGGTGTGCTAACCTTGCTCCGAGCATGGGAAGTGAACTAGACAGACTGGTATGGAGGGATGAAGATACCGGAAATGCAGTATCCTTATCTCATTGCTCTAAATCTTTTCTTACTGGCAGCAAGAATCATAATTTAAGAACTTAATGATGTGGGTAAGAGACGTGGGCCTCGACTATACATGAGAATCTAGAGGTTCCAGATTACCTTGACCCAAAGACCTCATTTCAGCCTCTTCACATCAAATGTGTTTGATAAACAGAGCCATCTCTTGGTTTGCTTTTTATTAATAATATTTTTAAGTTTTATTGACACATAATTTACAGAGCACTCACTTCAATAGTTCAATCATTCGAGCATATCAAGTAGAATTAATCACTACCATATCAATCCTAGAACATCCCCCACCCCATGGTTAATTTGCCTTTAAAATGGGTTGTGCAGTCACATCAGTTCTAGTACTTCCTCCCCATTCCCATCTTCATTTCCCACTCCCGAAATCCCCCTTCCCTCCCTAGCACCCACTCCCCACCCCTGCATCCACCATCAAACCCTGCATCAGTTATTATCACTGTACATCCACTCCCCCTGGGGGTCACAAACTCGGAAACCCAACAGAAACAATTAAAACCAAATTCGAAATAAGGTGGAAAGGATACTATAATAATAATGAATAAGAACGAAAAGACCCTCATTAGCATTCCAAAATCCAGGGAAGAAATTTTTGTCGTGGAACAAGTAAGAGATACTTGCACACAGAACCAACTCAGGTCAGGTCTACAGGGGAGGCATCTGGCCAAATATCAAGTTCAATCCAGCATATTCAAAATTACAATGGTCTCTGTCTGACAGCAGAATCACGGCAAGTAATAACAACAATACACCTGGAGTCTGTTTTACATAATTGGCTTTGCTGTGTTTTTGGATATTTCTTTCTTGCCGTGACAAGAGATGTTGCAAAGACCCTAAGCGCATGATCTAAATGCACTACTTTCAAAAATGAAACTAATGGCAGCAGAATACATGGTTCACTTGCTTTATAAGTAAAGTCTCTTTGTTTTAGCAAAATATGTACTTATATTTTATCAATACAAATTTTATATAATTTTTCAAGAACTTCGGCTCAGAACTTTACTTCATTATTATAAATCGCATGAATATATTTTAAACTATAGTTTTTTTTATATGCAGATCACTTGAAAAACTGAATGTCAATGGGAATTATCTGACTTCTTTCCCACCTGGAATTCTGCAGACTAACCTGAAAAGAATCCAATTTGATAATAATTACACTCATCCTAGTTTCTGGAAAGAGAATTCTTTGAATAGTCCACAAAGTCTCATCCATCTTACTTGTTCTTTCTTTTTAAAACATAATCTACAAAAATATCATGATGTGATCCCGGAAGAAATTCAAAACTTATTAAGATGGTGAGCTAACTCTTTTAACTTTCACCCAAAAAACTTTTATGTGTTTAAAATACCTTTTATTATAAATTCAATGTTTTTGACTCTTGACGTATACAACACACACACACACACACACACTTCAAAAATTGCTCCTCTGGTTTCCTAGGCATAGCGATATGGTCTTAATTCTGCCTCATTTTCTTAAAATCACCAAGTATTTCTAAAACCCATGTTGATTGGGGATTGCTGAGATGTAGTTGACAATGTCTATATGGTTACTGCATAAATATTTCTTATGAATTATTAAGATGTAGGTTCCTTAGAGAAAAACTACTTAGCATCAGAAACACCACAGGGCGATGTTTTAGTCTAAGCCTGTCCCCTGTAGAGCTCAGGAAAACAACAATCATGCGCAGAGTCACCCCTGTCCTGCAGGGGGCAGTGACCAGTGTTAGAATCACTGTCTCATCCAACCTATGTTCCTTAGCTGCACACACTTGCAGTTCACCTAGCCTTGCTTCTTATTTTTTCCAGATAGCGTACAAAGATAGGTCAAAAGTATCACTATAAAATCACAGAAACTGTGATGAAACGAAAATATCAAAAATATGAAGCTATTATTTCTTTTACATTTTCTCCATCTTGATCTGTACACTTTGGAAGGCAGTGGTTCTAGCTCTCTAACCCTTTCCCAAGAATTTTTTTAATCTGCTATTTTTTAATTATCTTAAGCTTTATCACGTAATTTGCAAATACATGTCAATAAGATATCGCCTAAACTTTATTCTTTCTAGTAAGTTGCTAAAAGCACCAATCACATGTTTCAACAGTCTTATGTGTTTTGATGAGCTCCTTGTAATATTTATCATGAATTATAACTTAAGAATTTAAATGCAAAGTTCCACTTGCTGTCTCATTGTGCTGACTTTGAAAACATCTGGCCTGAGTTAGCAATCCTTTGTAAGATGTGAAAAATATTAAATACTCTTTATGTGATATCATACACCAATCGCACTGAAACGCTTTTTGTTAATTAAAAGACAATGTTTAGACAGGAAATTTTAACTAGATTAACACATCGAAGAGCAAAAAGATAGAGTGGCCATTGCTATCTTATCTTCAACCCTTGCATTTAAATAGACTCATGAATACAAACGGAAACGGGTGAGCCGCTCATGAAGTAGTGTAGAGATTTCCGAGTATCCAAATATATTCATATATTCATATATATGAGGGGGTGCCCCCCCAAACTGGAATTGTGCTGGGTAGAGCAGAGCTGTCTACGTACGCATTTTTCTTGCTAGGTGAGCACCAAGGGACTCGCTCTGTGTTAGTGCACCCAGTGGAATCACTTAGGAAGGTTCTCTGGTCACAGTGATTTTTTTCGTAAAAGCAGTTTCACTTGAACCTTGTTTTTGTGTTGGCTCATTTAAGAGAAGCGCGTGCAGGCTGTGAAATGTTGACGAGGTCAGCGCTATGGGGAAAACTCAAGTGTACCAGTGCTTTTCTCGTTTCAAAGTAGGTGAAAGGTTGGTTTGAGATCTATCAAAATGTCCCCTTGGAACCTCAAAAGACAGTCCACCATACCCTTCTGAGATGGCTTTTCTGCTTTAAGTCGTCCAGTCTGAAGTCACTGTTTGGGTTGGCCATTTATTTTTGAAGGCGCCCGAAGAAGACGAAGACAGGTGTGTTGCTGAGAGAACGTGTCTGCAGCCGGCCACGGGTCTCAGCAGCACGGCTGAAGACAGTTGGTTTGCAATAACCCATGCACGCATGAACGGGACCCCTCATGGCCGTTCTTTTTGACTAATCCTTATGTTAATTGTCAGCACTTGGATTATTGATTTAGTGAATCATCTTAGTTCTCTAGTGCTACTATAATAAAACTTCCACAGTGGGTAGCTTTAGCACTAGAAATTGATTTTATCCCTATTTATCTGAATGCAGGGCCCTGGCTCCAGGGGAACACCTTCTATTTCTGTTAGCTCTGAGGGAAGTCCCTCGTCTCTGCTGCGGCTGGTTCTGGTTCCTTGAAGCTATCGTGTAGCATGCCATCTGTTCTCCTCATCTCTGCCTGTTTGCTGGCCCCATCTGCCTTTTTTGTTCACAAGAGATTGACTCATGATAGAGGCTAAACTAGTACTACTTGTTGACATAACAAAGAAAACCCATTCCCCGAAGATAATATAAGTGTGGATGTGGGAGTTAGGACCTACAACCCATTTGCCGTTTGGTGTGGGGGGGAAGGCACACAATTCTACCCACAATACAAATAATGTATGCATGCTTAAATAAAATGAATTCCCAAGAAAATTCAAAATGAAACAGAAAACCTGAATAAACTCATCACTATGGATAAACCAACAAAGGTCACTGAGGATATACTCTTAAAGAAAACTCATTCCAAAAGTTTTCTATTTTAAAGCATTGATTGAAATGTCCATGTGCCTGAGGTTTCATTGCATATGGGCAAGTAAGAAAAATCTTCAAGGGCAAACATTTCTTAGAGAATTAAAACCTAGACTCCTGGCAAGATGGAAAACTAGACAGATATGCTACACAGACCCCCTACAACAAAGACCAAATGAAATAGATACTGCCGGTAATCCTGGAACCCTGAGCTTCAGAGGAAAGGATGTGGAAGCAGATGGAAGACTGAGTAAAAGGACAAGTACTAAAGCTGTGAGGAGGAGACCGGTGAATTGTCTACTAGCCTGACGCAGGTGGCCATCTTGAAATGTTACTCTATCCATACAGTAGCCTGGGACCCTAGTGGCTGGTAATGGGAAAGATGGGATCCTCCCTCGTTCCTCCCTCCCTCCTGGTGACCAGAAGGTGGCTACCCCCCCCCCACCCCCGCCCCCACTCCACCCGCACAGCTGCTGGTTAACCTCCCTGCAGGCTGTGCCTGCTCTGCTTGAGGTCAGTGCTGTGCTAGTGTGGATCGTGTGAGAGGGCCGTCATCTCTGAGTCTGGAGTAACATGAACCCCCCCCCCACCAACTTCAGACCAGCAGAATGCCTAGGGCCAGGTCCTGGTCAGCCCTGGACAGATGAAACTCCTTCCAAGTAGGCTTCCCGGAGACTGCGAAGAATTCTCCAAGAACCAGCCCACTTACATCAAGTGTACCGAAGCAGTAAAAGCAACTTCCAGATCAGGCACTCTGATCCCAGACAATATATAGGCCAGGAGCAACTACAGCTAGGATCAGTGTCCATGCCCTCCCGTCCTGTGCTGTGAATTCCTTAGCTGGAAGAGAGGGACCAGCCTGTAGTTTTTTTCCTTTGGTTTTTTTATTTCTTTTCTCTTGCTGTATAGCCTTTTTCTGCTTTTTTTTTCTTTTTTCGTTTCTGTTATTCCTCTGGTTGCTTTTTCTTTTCCCTCAGCTTTTTCTTTATCGTGCTCTTCTGTTCAGTAAACTAGAGGGTCAGGGAGAAAAAGGAAAACCCTCACTGAGATGGTTTGACACTGGCCGTCACCATGGGCTCGAACAACAATGATGAGCAGGGCTCAGAAGGGACAATGTGTCCTGCTGTGGTGCACAGGACCACTATGAATTGGAAACTACATGAAGAATCATTCTCCAACAAATTGAAAACCTAGATGGAATCGATAAATGTATAGAAATATTGTCTACCTACGCTAACAAGGACTGAAGTTGGTTGCATGAACAGACCCCGAAAGAAGAAATTGATCAGGTCATTAAAAATTCCCACCCAAAAAAGTCTGGATCCAGATGACTTCCTTGGTGAATTCTCCCAGACCTTCGGAGAGGAGCTCACCCCAATTCAGCTCACCCCAATTCAGCTTACGCTGTTTCAGAGGATAGAAAAGGATGTGTGGATAGTCAGGCAGGCTCACAGCTGTGGGAGGGAGAGGAAGAGTAGACTCATGAATATAGAGAGATTTGACAGAGGAAATATGTATTTAGCTTTGCTGAAAATATATCCATAAACGTAGCAGAGGCTGCAAGGGGAAAAGTTATGAAAACTTCTTAGGTGTAAACAAATGCCTCAAGGGAATGAGTCGCTAGGCCTGAAGGAACAGGAGGATGGGCTCAGGGGATACCAAAGTCCACTGGCATTATACAATTCACAAAGACAATGTTTTACATCCTACTTAGGCAAGTAGTGACCAGGGTTTTAACAACATCTAAGGTGGTTTATCTAAGAGCCACTTCAGGGCCTATTAGGCTTTTCCTTCACATAGGAGATAAGAGTAATGACAATGTAAAGGCCCAAGGAACAAAGGGACTAATGGGCTAGGCAGACATCCATCTTTGTAACCCTGAGGCTGGAAGAACTAGAGAGTGCCCAGCTATCAGGATCAACTGCTCAGAAAAGGATACTAGAAGGTGCTGGATGGAGTGGGAGGGAAATGTGGAACAGAATTGACACTAAATTTACAACAACAACAAAAAGTTCTAAGAAAATACTCAACATCTACATACTGCTTTGTAAACACACACGAGGCCAATACAGTAGGCCACACCATAAGGTAGGAAAGGTGAAGTTCAAATTCCTAAGTGGAATATGGACCTGCAAAGGGCTAAGTGGTCCTAGAGATATGAATTATCTTTCTTGCAGAAGAACAAACACTTTTGAGAGACATATCCTCAATTTGTACTCAATTTCTGGAGACCAGGAGAGTGAGTACAATTGAATGTTAGCTTCCAATTAAAAATAAATTTCAAATGTAGGCTGAAATAAGTTACGAAGAATAAAGTATCAAAAATAATTAACAAGTGAAAGTCTCCAAGGATCTTAGCTAACGAGTATTATTTACAGAACATAAAATACTTTTATAGTGTTTAAAGAAAGTAAATACAATTCTGAAAACAAATTCCAGATGTTCTGAAGATTTGAATATAAAACACTTTAAATATTAGAAGCAAGAATACAAAACTATCTGTATGGGTTCAGATTAGGGAAAGATATATTAAACAAAATAAAAAATACAAACGTTCAATCAAAATCTCATCAATTACACAATCAAAGTAATATTTGTATAGTACATGATACCCTACACTAGAAAGAGATCATTGGAATCCGTATAGCTAGTGCAAGAGTTCCTCTCTGTGCTCCACCCCCAGCACACCATGCACACACACACACACACACACACACTCACTCACTCACTCACTCACAAAGATTCAATGCGTGGAAAGAGGATGCATGATAAAATATGCCCACTGCCTTTGCCTCCGTTCCAACTCACAGTGGCCCTCCGGGACGGAGTAGACCTGTTTGTGATCTTTTCCAAGGCTATCAGTCTGTATGGGAGCAGACTGCCTCGTCTCTTCCTGAAGCTGGTGGATTTGAACTGCTAGCTTTTCTGTGTGAAACCCACTACATCAGGGCTCCTTATAGTAAACATAATAAATATAAAGGCGTGTCAAATCTCAGTCGTCGTGAGGAAACTCATTTGAACTAGCAAAACCAGGCTTTTACAAATCTATTTTCTCAAAACTAAAAAGTATTGGATTTGGATGACGGAAATCATGAATCATTAGTGGAACTGTACATTTATGAAATTATTGTGGAAGATTTAAAAGTATTTGTTTAATTCAAATTATTTTAAACACATTGAATGATTAATGTATATGATATGTGAAGTTATGTCAATAAATAGATTAGGGTGCATGGTATGTGAAGTACATACAAATAATTTTTTAAAAATCATTTTATTGAGGGCTCTTACATCTCATAACATTCCGTACATCAATTGTATCAAGCATATTTGCACATAGGTTGCCATTATCATTTTCTAAACATTTACTTTGTATTTGAGCCCTTGGGATCAGTTCCCCCTTTTTCCATCCTTCTGTGATTCCTTGTTAAACTATAATTTTTTTTCATATATTACACCTTTTTTAAGGCGTTAAAGAAGGAAGTGATTCCTGTGTGATCATGAAGGGC